AAGTATTTGTATGTCTCTATGATGATAGGTTTAATGATGTCGGACAGAGTATTTTAGGTAGTTATGAACTAGATATGAATTCAAAAGGAGGAATAGTTTATTTTACACCAGACTTTTTACTACCAACCTCGACCTTTCATAAAAAGATAAAAATAGGAATAAAGAGTAGAGGATACAAAATGAAAAAGGGAGAAAAGAATTTATTAGTTTGCACAGGATTTTTAGGTTTAGCAGTCTCAGAAAGCAATACTCACTATAGACTTACTAATGATCAGATAGTTAAATTATTACGCGCAAAAGGAATAAAAGCATTACCAGCTAAAAAAATTAATTCTGAAGATAATGCAGCACTAGATTGGAAACTAGAAGATTTTCTAGGACAAAAGAGATTGGCCCCTCAAGATAATTTATTATACCAAACAGCAGATGGAAATTATGCAGTAAGATTTACTCAGTATACTTATGTAGCACCAGAAAAATCTGAAGATGATGAATTTAGTAGTATAGATAGGGAAGAAAATCAAGATAATCGTAGTGAAATAAATCAGCTTTACGTAATGACAGAAGAAAAAACTATATCACAAAATAAGATATATAATATTGATGAGATAGATTTAGAAAAATTTACCCAAGAAGACATGAATAAAATACTAGATGCCAGATATTATGAATACTTAGCCAGAGGAGATACCCATGACGAAGCAGTGTCATTTTTGGATCAGGAATTTCATACGGAATATGTAGATGATATCATAGAAGATAATATACATCCTAGCAAAATATTTAGAATACCAGAACAATTTAACTTAGAAGATACTTTTTATATGAATACAGAAAGCTCAGGAACCAATAATCCACAACCAACTGTAGAAGATCTAATAGAACCAATGCAGTATGCAGTAGAAGGAAGAAGACCATTAGTTAGTTCAGGACGTAGTCACGCAGACCCAAATAAAAGCTATAAGTTTCATGGAAAGCATAGACAACTAGATATGAGTATACAATTACAGCCAGTCCATAATCAAGGAACCCTTTTAGATTTAGCTAGATTCGACCCTCAGATATGGCAGGAAGTAATAGAAAGATGGGAAAAAGATGCAGTAAAAGCATGGATGACTAGTCCCTATGAATCAACGGATATGTGGGAATATATGGAGACACTTCTAGGAGATTCAGCTTATAATATTTATTTAACTTTCAAAGGGAAATATGAAGAAACAATTAAACAGCTCAAAGAATTAGGAAATAACCCGTGGAATTTTACAAATTTTATTAAAGAAATACTTATAGGATATGATCCTTCTAGAGGAAATGACTCCGCTCAAAGCATAGCATTAACCGAGTTAGACCAAATGACATTAGGAAGTTGGAAATATATTGTACCTTTTAGTAGAGAATACTTAGCCATAGCAGCAAGAACTGGAAAAAGCTTTGATGAAGAAATAGGAAATAAATATTTTAGAAAATTACCAGGAGAATTAGGAAGAGAGATAAAAAACAAATAGTTAGTTTATTATGCAAGTTTACCAGCAAGAATAGCTACTGGAGAATTAAGAATAAGAGGAACTTTAGGAATAGGACCTAGAATAGTTTTTACATTTTATAAGCTCAGAGAAAAATGTATAGAAGTTAAAATACAGAAAGACTTGAAAAAACAAAGTTACGACTTTTGTAGCAGTGTAATATATACTCCTCAGCAATATGAAGATAACTATAATAGGAAAAAATACAAAAAATATGGAAAATATAGAAAAGAAAAATATTAAAATATAAAAAATATGGAAAATATAGAAAAGAAAAATATTGGAAGAAAAAATATAGGAAACCATGGAAAAAACAAAAATTCATTAGAAAATGTAGAACTTTTAATAGGACAAATTATAAGAAATTACCTAGAGAAGAAAAAGATAAAAGAAAACAAAGATATGTTAGAAAACCCAACAGTAAAAAATGCAATTGTTTTATATGTGGAGAACCCAATCATTTTGCAAAGAACTGCCCAAGAAGACAAAGACCAAATACTAATAAACAGATAGAAAGACTACATATTATAGAAGACTTAGAAGAAGATATAGTTAGCATAACTAGTGATGATTCAGAAGTATATAGTATAGTCAGCGATTATGAATATCAAATAGAAGCCATAAGTTCAGATAGTGATTCAGAAAGTGATACTAATATAGATAATCTTTTAGGACAACTCAACCAAGAAATAGGACTAACCCCTTCCCAAGATACTTTCTTTATGATGGAATGCAATGCAGATATTGAATGTCAGCATAACTTTCAAATAGGATTAGGATTTGATACCACTAGATGCAGCTATTGTAATTGGTTTCCAGCTAAAGATAAATGAGCTCAATGTTTATTATGCAGTATAACCTATTGTGTAGTCTGTCTAGAAAAATTAAATGTGACACATAAGATAGCCTTAGGAAATACTAAAGAAGATCATAGTCTAGAAAGCAGAGAATTACATTTAACAATTAGAGAATTAGAACTACAAGTAAGAGAACTTAAGATACAAATACACGAGATAGAAACTAAGACTAGTTTTGACATAGAATGTTTAGAATTAGAAAATAGACAGCTTAAACAGCAGCTAGAACAATTTCACAATAAGTACCCTTTAAAAGACAAACTGATTGAAGAGCATATGAATTCATTAGAATTAGTCAACCTAGTTGATTCTCAACCCTTTAGTCAATACTCTAAAGCCCAACCAGATACTACATCCTTACCATTTAATTATCCGGTTATACCTAAATCAAATCTAGTTGAGATCTCTTGTGTACTCAAGTTTGCAGCAAAAACCCTTAGTATAGATGCCATGATAGATACAGGAGCTAGTAAATCATATATTGAACAACAAGTAGTTCCCCCAGGATGGAGCACGACTTTAACAACCCCAGCTTTAGTTAGTCTAGCAGACGTCACTAAACAGATATACACACATTGCATCAATGGAGCACAGATTAGTTTTCATCATCTAGGTTCTCAAGATCAGCATATAGAATGGTTTCCTTTACCTCAGGTTTGGATTGGAAATACCCGACAGAATCATCCTTTCATCTTAGGACTTAATTTCATCCTTAGCCTACAAGGTGGCATGTTACTCAGTCAAAACAACATTAGTTTCTTCAAGCGAACGGTCCATACCCCAACAGCTTATGCCCTTAGCACCATCACCAGAAAAAGATGCAGTAAAAGCATGGATGACTAGCCCCTATGAATCAACAGATATGTGGGAATATATGGAGACACTTTTAGGAGATTCAGCTTATAATATTTATTTAACTTTCA